GAAACCAGATTTTACATCCCAAATTTCCATGGCCTATTGTGTCAAGCCTTTCCTAGTGACGCCTGTGGGTTTGGAAAAGTCTGGCTTCCCTGTGCGGAAGCCAACATTGGACCATTCAGCACCTCAGCCCTCCTGCTGCAATGGAGCTAGATCTTCACTCATCCCTCAGGCACTGGATCCATCTTCTCTTTTATCATATACTTGCCAGTCACCTCACTCTCCTATAGCTACAATGCTGTAACTGGAAGCTCATACTGAAACAATTTTTTCCCTGTCCCCAAGGCTTTTATTAGTCACTACTGCCTACAGTCTAGTCCTCATTTCTTAACTGTGGCCTGCCTCTGATTCTGTATGCTGCAAGCCTGGAAATGTTTGCTGGGCAAACTGGGTAAGCTCTGAATTAACAGGCATTCTTCTTCATGATCTTTTGCTATCCTAGTCTTAATGAAGCCAGGAAGGATATTGTAAGAACTCAGTGCAAGAATCCACACTTGTAAAAATAGGGGGTGAGGTCGCCGTGCCGTTACTGAACCGGTGATCCTGTGTAGCCTATATTCAGTTCAGCTATAAGGAGCTGATGGTGTTGAGAACCCATCTACACAGGCACACTTCATCCTGTCAAGGAAGCCTGCATGTCTTCGTGGTCTTTATCATGTAACTCCACAATACAGCATCTAGCTTTGGATGGTATTGCACATGGTAGTCTAGTTTAAGAAAATGGCACAGGGAGTCTAATGAGCTTACAGCCCTTGATGTCTGTGCTCTCTGCTGAATCCTCAAAAAAACTTTCCCCAAACATCAACCAGAGGACACTTAGGGCTCATTTAGCCAAAAACATTGAAGATTGAAGGATCAACACTCCAGACATACCCAAGAATCGGGTGTTTCCATTATCATCTTGTAATAGGAGCAGAATGATTAAACTGTAGGCACTCATTTCAGAACTGGACGAGGAAGAACCACCCATGGGTTCTAGATTAACAGGACACAGATGTGTTGTTTGCATCAGCAGTGCTCTGAGCTATTTTGTTTTGATAAGCTTAAGCAATACTTTTCCCTCTTCCTTTTTTAGCAGTACTCATTTTCTGTGCTCCGTCTCTTACCCTGTTATTTTGTCATGGGACCTATAATCACAACCAGTAATTACACAGAGAAAATTAACTGATTATTGTTTGTTGAAAAACAAAACAACCAACCTTTCTTCAGATACACACCCTCTGCAGCCAATTTAGGTTCCATGTAACCCTCTCTGCTGTGGATACTCTGTCCCCTTTTCCACACAGGCTCAGCATTCGCTTTGTTATTAGAGGGATGCCAGGGCTTGAAGTTACCCTGGAAAGAGGGGAGGTGGCCAGTCAGCACCCCCTGCAGTGTTTTTTTCTTCTTTTGTTCCCAGCCTGGAAAGATTCAGTCAATTTAAACTAATAATAATTTGTTAAACTGATAACAGGATAACCAGAACCCAATCAAAATATGAGCCATTTATTCTTCCTTTATCTATTAAATATCTCACCTTGTACAGTCTGACAGCTTCTGCCAAACCTTAATCACTCAGTCTCTTGATTGCTACCTCTTTCTGCTTGTCAGCCCCTAAGTATCTGTTAATTATCACTACCAGCTATCCTATCTCCACAAAACAGAAGCACAGAAGTCACTTCCTTCATCAGACTGTCAGCATTATGCAACTGAATCACACCCTTCTCTAATCAGGTCAAGAGTATTCTCTCTCTCTCTCTCTTTTTTTTTTTTTCCTTTTTTTTTTCTTTTTTTTCCCTTCAAGACCTCAGGTCTCTCCCATCCTTTCTTTTCCAGTTTAGTTTAGCATCCCTTGTCAGCTCTTTGGCAGTAACGTCAGTCTGTTTATTTCTTCTGTAGTAGTTTCCCAGTTCCTTTCCCATGTGTCTCCTGCACACAGTTCTCAGATAATTCATGTTCAGACTACCCATATTACATTAGCAATCATTTAACACCACAAACCAAGCATAAAGTAATTTTGATTCAGTCATTTTGATAAGTATTCTCTTAGTTGAGAAATCATGTCACCTGGCAGTATTTTATCTTGGCTTACTATCTGTTTATATAATGCACTTAGAAAGCTTTGGTGAGTAAAAAAGAGTGTGTATGTGATCATAGCTGGTAGTTCCAGGTGAGGGACAAGCATAATCACCACCAAGGTCTGCTGAATGCAGGAGGCATGGCTTCATAAGCTACCTGTCCTTCCACCTGAACACAGCTAAGTTGGCTTTGCCAGGCTCTGTGTGTGTTTGTGGCAGGCTGGCCTTTGTGCAGTTTATTTAAGTAAGAACTAGACTTCAGAGACTTTCCCCCCACATCTTATATATACCACACTAATAAAAATAAAAAGCCAATGAATTCTGCAGAGCAAAATGTGGAGAAAAACAATAGATTATTAGGAAGAAGTACGAAGTTGCAGGTATAACATGAAGATTCCATATGCTGACAGAAAATTGTGAAAATAACATTTTAGCCTCTTCAGCTGAGTAAAAGCTGCTATGCTAGTAATTCATAATAATAGTTCTGGATAAACCAAACGAAATGATATGTCTAAAGATTAAATGTATGTTATTTTTCAACACAAAGAGACTTTGTCTCTACTATGATCAATAAAATCCATTTGGATTGCTGTTTGTCTCCTTCTGACTTACAGCTCCATGTATGAAAGGTAGTCTTTTTTATCACTGTCACTGTCATATGCATATCTGGCCAATAGAGCTTAGTGTCATCCATCTATGCACATACAATTACCATTCTGTTGTTATTTTTCACTATGGGGCTCTGGAAGATACCATAGGTCTGCAGAGTTAGGAGGGCAAATAAGCTTGTGAAAGAACCAGGCCTATTCATCCAGTTTTTATCTATCAGGGTGTAAGAAAATGCAGCCTAAGGACATCTTTCTGCTTATGCCTTCCCAGATTTCCCAGACAGAATCTGTGAGCAACATAGCACATAACTCCCTCCAGCGTGGGGAGGAACAAGGCGGGAGACATCAGCAATGTCAATGCCAAATAGTTACTCTGCAACTTTGTCTTAAAGTCCACAATTCAGTTTTTGTTCCCCATTGGCACCACTGGAGTCACCACAGGGTGTGTGAATATTGTACTACAATTGCCATATGAATGTATCCTCTTAATCAGCCCTGTTTTGCCAAGTTTTGTTCCTGGTCACTTTCTTTTTCTGCGTTTTGAAGACACACAATTAATTTTTCCAAGTAGAGGAACTGCCTCAGTGTAGTGTTTTGCCCAGCTGGATCAGTTCATCAGGCTGGTTCACTGCATAAGAGCCCACATGGTGGCAGGAAGGTGAAGAAATTTTGGCAGCAACTTTTCTGTCAGCAGTGCAAATTTAAATACACTTCAAAAGCGATCCCATAATTTTGACTTCCCCGGCCCTACAAAACAGTCCTAGAGAATCCTCCCAGTGAAAGAAAATCACAGTGTCACCACACACTTACTGACTTCCCACTTCCAAAAATGAAAAACAAACAAACAAACAAAAAACCTGTCTCTGTTAGTTAGTTATGCAAATCAGCTGACCAATCTGTATGTTCACATTCCCCCTTAGCACACACAAATTGTACAGTGATTACTGATCACATCATAAGGCAAGCACACAAGCATGTAAGTCGATCAACTATTACAACAGCAGGCTACAGCCACCACGAGCCTAGGACAAGGCAGTTAGGAAACAGAATCAGTTACAATAAATGGACAGTGAAATCTGAGAGATAGAAGCTTTGTGAGAACCTGCAGTATATAAGGATTTGAGGATCCTCAAAAAACAAATCACACAGGAAAGAGACTGATCTGATACAGTGAAAGGTTCTGACTGTCCATGTTGCAGGCTCAGCACCTGGGGAGCATAGTCAAACTTCCTATAATTTCCATAGTTGCTGCAGGCTGTGTGATGCTCAGCTGCAGCAACATCCCCCCCAGTGGCACAATCACATAGCTACAGATTAATTCCTTATTTGAAGAAGCATTGGCTGTAACTGCCCCGGAACACCAGGGATTCTGAGGCCAGCTGACACATCTGAACTTTCAAGTTGGCTCTGTGGTGGAGTTCAACAGAAACTGTGGACAGCAGTTCATGTCTAGTGCAAGTACAGTGCAAATCTATTATAAAATCTGCCTGCCTTCTCTTGTCCCTCCACCTATCCCTGATTTTCTTTCTCTGCTCTCTAGTCAGGACAGAACTTTGTTTTTCTGAGTGTAGGTGGAATCAAATTACTTTTGGGGAAGGGAGGAGGGAATTCTTATAAAATCTGACAGCTTACACATCCTGAATGAGACAGATTGGTTTATTCAGGTAAGAGTGTGCATACAAGGAACAACGGAGAAGATGAACTGGTGGTTCGCGGCACAGTAACTATGGCCCTATTGTATTTGAAGCTGTGGTGGCATGACAGCATCAACAGAACCAATGTGTGAGTGTTAGATGAAGACCAGAGGTGTGACAAGCATAGTAAGTACCTGCTCCCTGGCTGTGTACAAAGGCACATGTGTGAA